ATAAGCCAAATGACTATATTTGTAAGAATTAAATGTGCCATTGCTCACAAGTAAAATGTGAAATAATCAGCAGCTTGTTTTGATTTAAATATTTATTTCCCATAATAAGTTCAACAGGGTAGATGTACTAAAGAAAGATGAGACTTTTTCAGATAAATAAAGGCAAATATTGCAAACTACACAAAAGGCAGAGATTGAGCATGCACCGGTTTATTGCATTTCCAGACTTGCTTTCGGCACAACTTATAGTGCGCGCTACTCTTTTTGTCAGACTTGAAATAGCCGAAATACCTTCACACTACAGAACTTCTATGGCTCTTCCGTTCGACAATCTCTCCGGCATTGGAACCACCATCTATTTTCTCTTCGGTAACCTTTGGTCACGCTCTCGGTTGATTTTTCTCTAATCGGCACACTCATTTCCTCCGTTACCCGGGCGGCACGGCGGCTGCCTGCTTCCCAAAACAAATACACATGTGCGGCTTGGCACTTGTGATTTACGTAACAAGTCACGTGTCGTGACGCTGCGGCTGTGATTGGTTCGGCTCTGCACTATGTAATTTGGATTTCTTCTTCATCTTCTTCATCTTCATCTTCTTCTTCATCATCATATCGTTATCGTTCTATCGCCCAGCTCTAGGAAATACTATGAAGTGTCATTTCATAATGGACATCCTTCACCATTAACAGATGCTGGCTTTTAAACTGTGTGCTGATAACAAACCTGATGCTCGCTCTTCTCTTTAGCCTGGAGACAGAGCATCCATGATTCCCATAATGCATCTCAAAGTTCTGATAGGTCTCTCCACAGCACAGTTCCATTTTGCCTGGGTCCCTTTTCAACTTTGTCGTACAAGAAATTGTGTCTATAGAGCAATTTCTGTCTACGTTTCACAGATTTTAAAATGGATTGATCCATCATCTTAATACTTTTATAATTCTGGTAAAATAATACAATTATGATAATTCAGATCAGAAGCCTTTAGCCCATCCAGCTGCCATGGCTTGATTGTAGCAGTTTTGCTGAGTCATTGAGGGGATGTTGACAGATGGTCCAAGTGGAGTGATCTTGAGGCCCTCCCTCCCACAGCTCAGCACTGCACGTGCCAAAGGCCCAGCTCACTTGAATAATTTATAACACCTATTTATACAGCCAGTGTAACAGACCCGGTCCACTGACACGTCTCTCTCTGTGCGTTTGTTCATGCGTGTGTTCTCTGCAGTACAGTATCACTTCATATTCCTGTCACAATGCACAGTGCTGTTTTTGTGTAGACGTTTTAGATGACGTCTAGATAACGAAGTGTAATCTTCACGTGCTTTATCCAAGGTGCACCCTCTGTAACTGACACTAAATGTATTTATTCATTTTGACTGTAGGGAGTCTCTCGCTTGGCTTGTAGCCAACTCGCAACCAGCGTGGCTTCTTCACCTGTCCTTCCTGCACCTTTCTGCTCAGTGTATAGCTACTCTTGTAATAACCTAGTCCGTTTACTGCTCTGGCGACCAGGATTACTGAATTGAAGGCCCAGCTCTGCACTATTGCGAAAAACTCATAGCCAGGCTCCTGTATTCAGTGCAACTGTTGTTAGCATAGCCACCATTAGCTCTCACCCCAGCAGATTGTCCCATCAGCCAGGAAAGCATGATAGCTGTGTGACTGTGAAGAGGGAGCATAGCTCTAGACATAAAGATCTGGATGGCCTCTAATTACCTGCTGTTAAATTCAGATAAAACTTAGGGCATTGTATTAAACCCTAAAAATCTTAGAAACGTCTGTGTCTAACGAGATTCTTACTCTGTATGGCATTAACTTGACCTCCAGTAACACTGGGGAATGATGGAGTTATTTTTTTTTACCAGAATATGTGTTTCATTGTGCATATTAAGCAAATATGCAGGACTGCTGTCTGTACTTCTTCTTTTTTTTTCTTTTCTTTTTTTGCAATATCTCTAAAAGTGGAACTATCCTGTCTCAGAGTGACACTGAAATACTAGTTCAAGCATTTGTTACTTCTAGGCTGGGCCAATGTAATTCATTATTATCAGAATGTCCTAAAAACTCCATGAAAAGCCTTCCATTGAAATGAAATACTGCAGCGAGAGTGCTAACGGGGACTAGAAAGAGAGCATATTGGCTTCTCCCACTGGCTCCTCCTTACCTAATTTCACAATTTAAGGAGGACAAAGTTAATAGATTTAGTCCCCCAAAAAAATATGTACCTGGAACATACACACCATTATTAGACCATTACCTACAGCTACTTTTCAGTACCATTGATATTTATTTAGTCTTTTTCTCCAATTGATCTTTCTGAGTTAACTTCAGTTATTACTTCCTCCAAACTATCAACATGTCTTTTAGACCCCATTCCTACAAGACTATTCAAAGAAATGCTACCATTAATTAATGCTTCAGTCCTAAATCAAACCTATCTCTAATAATCAGCTATGCACCACAGACCTTCAAGCTGTCAGTAGTTAAACGGTTTCTTAAAAGGCCATCTCTTGACCCAGCTGTCTTAGCTAATTATAGGCCAGCCTTCATCTCCAACCTTCCTCCAGCTCAAGAATTCTTGAAAGAGTAGTCTCCAAACAGCTTAAACATCATCTGCAGAGGAATGGCTTATTTGAAGAGTTTCCATCAGGTTTCAGAGCTCATCACAGCACAGAAACCCCTTTAGTGACGGTTACACCCAATCTTCTTATGGCCTCTGACAGTGGACTCATCTCTGTGCTTGTCCTGCTAGACCTTAGTGCAGCGTTTGATACTGTTGACCATATCCTTTTACAGTGATTGGAGCATGCTGTAGATATTACAGGTACTGTGCTGCAGTGGTTTGTATCATATCTATCTAATAGACTCCAATTTGTTCATGTAAATGGAGAGTCCTCTTCACACACTAAGGTTGATTATGGAGTTCCACAGGGTTCAGTGCTAGGACCAATTCTGTTTACATTATACATGCTTCCCTTAGGATCATCAGAAGACATAGCATACATGTTCACTGCTATGCAGATGACACCCAACTTGATCAGATCGTGCCTTTATGGATGATCTGATAATCCTCGTGTCGGTGTTGTTCCCACATCATCATAATAAACGTTGTTCCAGGTTCAACAACATTTATTATGATGATATGGGAACAACACTGACACAAGGATATGAGATCGTACCAACTTTATCTACCCATGAAGCCAGATAACACACACCAATTAGTTAAACTGCAGGAATGTCTTAAAGACACAAAGACCTGGATGACCTCTAATTTTCTGCTTCTAAATTGAGATAAAACTGAGGTTATTGTATTCGGCCCTGAAAATCTTAGATATCTGGTAATATTGTAATCAGATTCTTACTCTGGATGGCATAACCTTGGCCTACAGTAACACTGAATGGGGACATGCAGTAAAAGCTTTAGTATAAGTTAGTAATGTGCGTTACCACAGATAAAATTTTTGCCCCAATACCAAGTAAAATTCAGGTTGGTATTAGTGATACTGATCAGATCCAGATACTCTGTACAAAAACTTGATGTGTTTGGAAAATCAAAATCAAAAGTTGTGTATTTCAAACTGCACCTTCATAATGAATACAAGACATTAGACTCGTTGTTTTTATTGTTTAATTATAAAGAAATATCCTATAAGAAATCAAAAACCTAAGAAGTCATTACCTACATTTTAAAATATTCAATTAACAGTCAAAAACAATAGCTCCTGTTCTGCAGCACCAAAGAACTCCACAAGTGACATCTATCAGTGATGACGGTCATCATCAATATACAGCTGTATTTCGCATCTCACTCTTTCAGGCGGAAGAAGTAGTAGTTTCTACCAATAATTTAGACAGTCCCAATAATAGTTACTTTCCACTGTGTTCCTGTTAATCATAAACAAATTTACCCCAAATACTAGTATACGTGCAGAGGGCTGGCTTGCAGATGTCCTTTGTTCTACTTCAGGTTAATAAGAAGGCAATCAATGCAGTTAATATAATACACTGTATACCCAGGGAGGATGCCAGTGGGACACTATTGTGCACAGAAGGGAGCTTCTAGTATTTTTAACGGCTACACAAAGTAAAGAAGGTGACCTGTGTCTGTAAGCCAGTGTTCCTTTTTTTTTTTTTTTTTAATTGCCTTTGATTTAAGCAGGAAATGATACTCTTGTTATTTTGGAATGTTTTTGCAAGGGTGACCTGGAGAATGTTTTCGATGGCAGGAGAAACCAGAGTGCTGCAAAGAAGCCTGCAAACTGTCAAAAGAAGGGCCTTGTCTGGGTTGGAATTTCAGATTGTCTTGCTGCGAGGCATTATTATTAGCAAATGAACCACTTTTGATGCTGTATAAAATGTGTGAATGCAGCAGTTTTTAAATCTAAAATCTATTAAGTTTGATTAAGAATAGTACAATTACAACAAATGTTCAAACTGAGAAATCTTCATTTTCATGTATTTATTTTCAATTTGGTCCCAACAGTGTGTTTCAACAAATTTTAGACTGGGACACTCAGAATGAACAGAAACGCTCAGAAAGTCCAAACCTTAAAAACAACAAAAACCTTTATTAGAACACATCCCAGAATGACGGAGAAGAAAAATAGTGACCTGCAGTCAGTCTGTTACATATTGAAAACATTTGGCAGATTGTGAAATGTAAAGGAAGCCACAGACCATTGAGCAGCTAAAATTTTATTTCAAGGATGAACAGGTAAACATTCCTGTCTAAATTATAGCAATTAGTCTATTCTGTTCCTCATTGCATGTAGTATGTTGTTTAATGTCATGCTGTACAGTGGGAAACATACTCTTGCATCAGTTTTATTTATGTGTTCCAAATGTTCCTAACTTTAAACACTTTCTCAGTTTTAACTTTTCATGTGCTTTGTTTGCATTTTGTGCTTAAACATCAGATTTAAATAAGGCACCAGCATTTCGCTTTAGATTACGTTTACTTCTACTTGTTGCTGACTTTGATTCAATTTTTTGTGCTTCTAAGGAACCCTTTGAGGATGGCTTTGCCAACGGTGATGAACTTACACCAGCGGAGGAGGCCGCTGCTAAAGAAGCAGCTGAGTCAAAAGGAGTGGTCAAGTTTGGCTGGATTAAAGGGGTGCTGGTAAGTCAAATTTAATTATTACTTTGCTTTGTTACTTGTGTGCAGAGTGAATACGCTGTCTTGTGATTAAACTAAGTATGTCATTCTGTTAAGCCAGTTAACACTGACCTTTAAGTCATTCAAGCACAGAAAAGGCACCTAATCCAGGGGATGAATGAATTTTGTCTACATATAACAGACAACTAAGCAAAGAACCAACTTTAAATCCTGATTTTAGGCCTTCATCAAGTTCAACCCTGACCCTGATGAAGGCCACAAGCCGAAACGCGTTGGTCAGTCAATTAAGTTGTTCCTCCTCTTTTTCTTTTTCTTTTTTTTTCCTCTTCCCGTCCTCTCTACGCACCTTGGAAGCAGGTGAAGTTGTGCCAGAATTTTTTTGCCTGCACTTTAATATCCCCAAAACAAATAATAGTTGTATAAAAACAAGGTGATTCCTAAAGAGCCTAGCTGAGAATCTGGAATATCTACTGATGGTGTGCAGTGTGCCCTTAAAAATTTGAGGAAATTGGAAAAGTGCATAACAAAAAAGATGTGCCAGCCCTACAAAACTATCTTCAATAGACGAACAGTAAGTAACTGAAAGTCATATCTTTAAGAAATAGGAAAATAAATCCAGCAAAGTGTTGACACAGGACCCAGCTGGCCCTTCAAAACTGTTCCTGAAGACTAGTTAAATGACAAAGTTCATGCTGTGTGTGGGTGTTTGTTTTTTGTTTGTTTGTTTTTTTTTTCTCTACCAAATATTGACCTTCAGTCTTGTTAGTTGTAAACAGGCTTAAGTGCTTATGTTTCACTTATTTCCTAGTTTGTTAGTTTTTTAAATCAAAATATAAAGAAGGAAGGATGCATGCGTTTGAACAGGACTTTAGCTGCGGCGAAAGTTGGACCTAGTTTTCTTTACAATATTGCTTTAGTTCGTACACATTACTTTTAAGGTACTGCCATAGTAATTTAATGAGGTAGTGAGCTGGACTTTTAATGGACCAATTCAACACCTTGACTGGCAGTACGAATGAGAGGTTTATGGTAATATGCCATTTTTATTTTTACAAAGGTGCAAAGCCCACTTTAGTGACAGTTGTCCAAAGGAGTCTTGTTGTTAGTGCAAATTCAACTTTATAAACCTAAGCTGCCAAGTTGTGTTAGACAGAGGCTTTCTCCAAGGAACTGTTCCAAACAAGCTTGCCCTGTTCAGTCTTTAATTGTGGCTTGAACTGAAGCCTGTAGAGTCTGAGATGTAGCTTTGTGTTTGGAAATGGTCTGCATGTCCTGCAGACAGTGATGAAAAATAACAAATTCCATGTAAAAACCAAAAATATTTCTAAAATAGTTGAAGTTTGCATTGTGTTCTTAAGAAGATGTTTTCTTATGTCAGATAGCACAAATTAATATTGATATATCTGCTATAGTCCAATATGGGCATCAGTTGGCTGTACTGCGTTTTCCATTCTGTTCTGTACTTTATCTGCAGTCCACTTACTATTATTGTCTTTCACCAGCCCAGGCAATTCATAATTGTCTGGGCATAATTGTGGCATAACCGTGGTTAGGGAAGCTCATCTGTAACCGGAAGGTTCGATGCAGCTGTGGGTACAACTGTGGTTTGCCTGCACCAGTGAGTGAATGTGAAAGTGAATGATTAGTGGAATTGCAAAGCGCTTTGGGTGCCTAGAAAAGTGCTATATAAATGCAATTTATTATTATTATTATTATTATTATTATTATTATTATTATTATTATTATTATTATTATGCTAGTTATTTTAGCCATTGAGGGTAAAAACGGACATGTTTGAATCTAGTAAGCGGTCAAAGGATTATTCATGTTCATGTGTCTGGATATTGTCATCTTACTTCTGTTTTAATATGAGAAAGTGTTACTTCCTCTGTAATATAAACCTTGGCGTCTAATAACTTTTTTCAAGTATTGTCTTTACGTTTACTTTGTAAAATGTGATCCTCGCTGATCCCTACTGGGGAGGGGTGTTGCTTATGGAGTCTGTGTGAGGAATTTTAAGTGTTTTTAAATGACATTCTGCCAGAGGGGTAAAAACTGCTTACAGTGCGAGCTCTGTATACAAAATGTGAAGTTTTTTGCAGTCACAGGC